AATAATTCTCCTTTTATTGCATTTCTTGAAAAAAATAACTTCTTAAATAAAAATCTATATGATTTTAGAGCGGTCTACAAATCATGCAATCTCGCGCTTAACACAACTCATTCATTACTCTTTGGATAGAAGAAGTCCCTGCATAGCCACCTTTCTAGATCTGTCTAAAGCTTTCGATACAGTCCATCACGACATTTTGTTATATAAACTGGAGATGTGTGGATGTAGAGGTAGCACTCTTGAGTTGTTTAGGGACTACTTAAGTGAGAGATATCAGCAAGTTAATATAAACGGTGTTGTTAGTTCTGAGAAACTTGTGACATTTGGTGTCCCGCAGGGCACCGTCCTGGGACCTCTATTCTTCCTAGTTTACATACTTAACATTAAGAAGTCTCATTTCGTTACATTCTGCTAACTTACCAAATATAAATGAAATAACATTTCACTCAGATAAATGCCAACCAGCAGCATGCATTTGCTCAAATAAAATAATCCGGATCAGGTCAACCAAGTACCCTGGTGTCATGATTGATCAGTGCATCCGTTGGGGGATCATATAAGTAACTTGTGTGTTAGGTTGCGAAAACTATTCTATGTTTTGTATTTGTTTTTTCTATTTTGTGTATCCGTTTACGCCTAGCCTTTATTCGCTTAAATAATCTATGTATGATTTTTGTAATGGACTGAGCATCAATAAAGGATTTTTTATTTTTATTTATTTATTTATCAAAGGAAATATGTCGAATTGATGAGCATCGATTCAAGTAAGGCGTTTGATAGTGTTAGCCACTCGTATTTCTTGTACAAGTTGAAATCTTATGGTGTAAGAAGCACGGCGCTTAGCATGATAACTCATGATGACCCTAACCCGGTTGTGGACTATAAAACAGCAACCTAAAACACAATCAACAGTTGCGTCAAAGGTAGCCTTACGCTGGAAAGAACTTCCAGGTCAATATTTTTAACAGTTTACTACTGAGATAGAAACTGAAAATAGTATTAACTTTTTAAATCTGACTCTAATCAGAAATCTTAATGCAGATAAAATAGACTTCAGCATATATAGAAAACCTACATATACAGATAACATCATGCCCAAAAACTTATATTGTTGCAGAAAACACAAACATGCTAACTTTAGATTCCTATTCAATAGAACATACAATATACCCCTTGACGCAGACAGTTTATCTGTGGAGATTAAGAATATCATCAAAATAGGGCTCAACAACGGATACAACATCGAAGATATACAAAACATCTACAACAAAGTCCATAAATCCAGAATTAACAATCTTATATTTCCACAGATCAAAAGCAAGCCGAATTTTATCTCACTACCTTTCAACCCAATGTTGGAGTACAGGATGAAGAGAAATCTACTTAAATTCAAACTGACTCCTGCTTTTACCTCCAACAATAAACTACAATGTCATTTAGTTAATAACAAGAATAAAATAGCCAGCCCGACAGCAATAATAACAATAAAATGTATAATATCAATGTAGGAATACCAAAAGGGTCCATCCTATGTCCACTTTTGTTTATAATCTATGTTAGTGATACGCCTTATTCTGTGCCTAATGACAGTGTGTGCTTGTACGCGGATGACACCACTTTTATATCAATTTGCGAACAACTTGGATGATCTGCGAAATAAAATTCATCAAACATTAGTAGTTGCAAAGGAATTGTTTGGGGCAAATGGTCTAAAACTAAACGAAGAAAAGACTCAATACCCGCATATTCAAAACAATGTTGGGACAGAGTATAACAACCTAAAATACATTTAGACAACAAACTGAACTGGTAAGCATATGTAGAGAACAACTCAAAAAAGTTGAACACAGCAATATATATTATAGGTGAGGAGAATAGGAAATATAACCACCACGTTTGCAGCGCGACTTACCTATTATGCCAATTTTCATAGCATTACTACTTTCGGAATACTATTCTGGAGAGCATCATCAACAGCAGAAAAAGTTTTCCTTCTTAAAAAAAATGCACTGAGGGCGCTATGCAACCTTAAATCCAATCAAAGTTGCAAACAACATTTTAAAGAGCATCGTATACTTACCCTATTAGTATATGTACTAAATTGTATTAGACATATGTGGCAAAATATTGATAAATATACCTCCAAAGACAATACAATACCGATGCATCGCTTAAAAAAGACACAAGACAACGCGGTTTTCTGGAACATTAAAGTGTTTAACCATCGTCCCTACTAGTACATACAGATACTACCACAGCAACATTTCAATATGTAATAAAAGAGGCGTTACTGGAAACACCATTATATACAATAAAGATTTTTTTGAAATAATTTTTTAAGCTATAAATGAGAGACTTTGTAATTATTATTATTATTTTTGGCATCAATTATTGCTTGCATTCACCGGCGCATAGAGTCCACTAACTTTCATTTTTCAATTCGCTTTTGTTTCGGCACTTGTTATTTTTTAACTGAAACTTAACTTCTCCCCATAAATGTTCAATAGGATTAATCCGGAGACTGTGGTGGTGTTTTTAGTTATTTTAAAGTATTGGGTAATAACCACACATCATAGCTTTACAAGGTATTATATGTGTTTTGGATCATTATCTTGTTGGAACCAGAACACAGGAGGGTTGAGTTTTTGAAAGCTTTGACATAAATTATGTTTTAAAACATCCAAATAACTAAATGTTGTCATATTTCCTTCAATAAACTTCATAGTTCCAACGCGGCTGGCTGTCATTGATCCCCACAGCATTACTGAACCACCCTCAAGTTTAACTGTTTCGTTAAAATAGGCTTTGAAATATATGTTGACGTTTGTGCAACATATCTGAGTCAGTTTAATAGTTATTTATGTATTAAGGACGTAATGAAAACGCCAGTATGAAGGCGTAATGAATTTGTGGCCCGCGGCGTGACATTTCCAAATAGCTTGAAACAAAAAATTGAGAAGGTGGAATAAGCTAATTATTGTTATTACCGTAGTAACGGCATAAACAAGGGTAGTTGTTAATTTAAAATAAAGTCAACTCAATTGTTGTAGTGAAATATTTAATGGGAAAACTCTAGAAAAAATGGAAATAACAGAGGTATTTTCTGTTGACGACGAAGGAGAAGTGATCGTTGCAGAAGAAATAGTTCAAGCAGCCAAAATAGCTACCGAAAGTCTTCTTCCATCCAAATCGCGGGACAAGTATGAAAAAGAATGCAGAAATTTTATGGACTGGTCTCAAACTAAAAAAAATCACAGGCAAGTGTTGCGCAGATGTTCTCCTCGCCTATTTTTTTTTGGAAAAATCAGAACAACATTCAGCAGTTTCTGTGTGGACGTTTTGAAAATGTTGAAAATTGCCAGAATAAAAATCAGGTGCCATCAACATCTACAGCATCGCCAATAAAGGAAGTTGCAGATCCTTCTTTTGCCGCCAACCTGGTCTTCCCATAGCAACAAGAACTTGTAACCAGAAATTTGAAACTACCGCAAATTTATGTTAATAATTGTGACAATGTTGAAGTTAATGTTAGTTTTTTATTTAAATAGAAATGTTGAAGAATTTGTTGCCTTAGAGCTACAATATATTGAATTAAGCTCTAAAAACTAGTCCATAAGTAGGCAAAAATCGCCCTAATCCAATTAATTTTTATAATTTCTAGAATTACTGCTTGATAATAGCCACATTATGAAGAGAGACAACTTTAGAAATAAGAAAACTCCTAAATCCTTTAGATATAATGGTAATATTATTGCAAGACCTCATTCCACGGTACAAAAAGTCGTGAATACGTGGAAGTATGCAAGAACATTGAAAAACTCCACTGGCAGAGGCAGAAAGAAAGTGCTGACAGAATACGATGAACGTAATATTGTACGTAAAGTTAATGTAAATCCGAAAATAAGTGTTCCAAAATTAACAATAGAGATCTCAAAAACAATAAATAAGTGCTCCGAAAGAATGATCTGCTTGCGCATTGCGTGGAAAAAACCATTTATATCTACAATAAATAGAAGAAAGCGCTGGGAGTTTGCGAAAGCTCATATAAGTAAGCCTCAAAGCTTTTGGGTGGACACTGATGAGACTAAAATTAATCTTTGGGGTTCAGATGGAAGGTAAATAGTTTTGAGGAAAACCAAATTGTGAGCTCAAAAACAAGGACCTACAGTGTATTAAAACATAATACCAACCTAAACTTAATCACTTTTGCTTGATTGTATACTCAATTTTATGGTGTGAATTTCGAAACATTTGTTATTATTGTTAATATTGTGATTATTTTATTTGGAAAACTGGATTATTTTGCATTCAATGTAGTTAATAAGATTGTTGTTAATATAACAAAATAAATTAATAATTATTTAATATTTATCTATCTTCCTTTCCCCTGTATACTTAATTGTGTGAGCAACTGTAGGTGGTCACAAATTAGTAATTGAAATTATTACAATACATAACTCAGAGAATTTATGCTAAATTTATCCTTGAAAAGTTAAAATTAATAACCATCTATTTAGGGATTTATTAAAATTTTTAAATAATGTGTAAAATTGGTTGCCTATAAATCCAAGGATCTTATATGTAATTGATGTATGTAATTTAAATGCATGTATGTATAAATGCATTAAAGCGGATTTATAAATTCTTTTTTTACAGTTTATGTGAAAGTCTGAGAGTTGTGAAGACAACAATTCACTCCAGGTAAGATTAGACCTTATTTATCATATTATTACCTTAACAAATCGGTGTTTGTAAAATGTAATATTCTTAATACGCTACCTTTGTTGAAATTATAAATTTTTTTAAATAATTAAACATAATTTCGAATAATAACTTAAATTCAATATGAGTAAGTAATAAGTAGTGATACATAACTTTGTGAAATTACATCTTACGTCTGATAAAAGATTATAACAAATATGATTGACAACATTCACGCTTGATTCAGCATTTAGAACAACAATACTTAATTAGCATAATGAGTTGATGATTCTACTTACTGGGTTGCATAGCGTGGGCATGTATGGGACCTTGTGGACGATGAAGTAAACTTAAACTTGTTATATCGGGCAGCAGTTGCTGTATGGGCGCCTGCATACTATGGGCCTCAGTATCGGCCGACATCCTCTAGCCTAAAATACAAAAAAAAAGAAGTTTTTATTTTTATTCAACAAGATCATTATAATTATTATTTAAGAAGTATCATGGGTTATAATAAATTGAAAATCAGCATAGTTTACATTTAATCATGTTATGAAACGTAATACAATAACAGCATAATTTATATTAAATATTTATAGTATCAACAAATTAATGGCTTCTGCATCTCTCATTTATGTCAAGTTTCAATATCGTGTCTGATTGATGATATGTGACGATCAGATGTGATGATTAAAAAAAAACATCTTGATTGTTTTTGCGCATCTTTTAGAAATTGTCTCATTAATAAAACAATAAATCGCATGATGTCGTAAAGAATGAGTATTTTGTGCAAGAACCTATTAATAATAATAATCAAATCAATTTAATTCTTATCGGCTAATCTAAATGAATCGAATCACATTTAAAAAATCAAAAACCAATTACGTATGTACGCAATGAAAATTACTGGCTAATAAGAATAAGTATGATCAAAAAGGAACTACTCAAAAAGCACAAATTGGCTATCACTAGCCAATTCATGGAATTATTCTATGTTGACCTCACAGGCCTTAGACCAGATAACAGAAAACCTTTCTTTATCTTAAGTTGCCTATCCATCAACACAGGTACCACTCAAAAATCTAACAAATACCTCCGCAACTGCCAAATAGCTGATAACATCAATCCATTCTCCAAATTCGAACACAAAGAACCACATCACAGTTTCATCATTTCTTTGGAGTTTCTCCAGATCTCTGTCACTGTGGTGTCTACTAAATTTGAAATTAAAGACAATTTTGCACTTTTGCAATGGAAAATCCTTTATTATTTAGCTTTTACCGGTTTCGCCCTAAGGGCATCTTCAGACAGCCACCTATTGTATAAAACAACATAAAAATCCAACAGTGCCTTATCTCAACATATATCAAATTAAGATTATGTTCATTTTAATTTCCATTGCAAAAGTGCAAAATTGTCTTTAATTTCATCCAACACAATGGTAAGCATGAAGATTTCAAATATCTACTAAATTTGTTTTAATCTCCTATTGACATGGTCCATGCTTCACATCCATATGTTCTTCTTGGTCTTGCAATAGTGCGACATATACATAAGTTTCTACTGATCTGTGTCCTTCCACAGATCTTCCTCCACGTCCCTCATCAAAAGCCAAGTATGTAAGCAACATATTTAAATAGTTAAAGGGTACCACAAGTCACCTCTCCCTATCTTATTGAATCAAGCAACTTATTAAAGAGCTAAACCGAATTATTTTATTCCACCAAGAGAATATATTTAAAAGTTCATTTAAAAGCAACGCCGTTTAAGCATGATAGAAATATTATTGATAACAGCAGGAATATTAGAAGAGTTCAGTATCATGTTAGTTAAACATGATGAATATTTGTAAACAATGATTTTGTGGAAGAAGCAAGAATTTGACGACATGTACAATAAATTCACTTAGTTCAATGTCTGGCACACATTGAACTATGTGAATTTGTCCGCTTCCTGCTATCATATGTGAACAGTTGACTAGAGTTCTGTACTCTTTGCAGCTGCAATTTTGTGACAAAATCAAGGCATGTATGAAACAGAATATCTTCGAATGCTTATCTTATAGAAAAAGACACAGAGACAGGGATTCATACCTCACAGCTTACTATGTAGTTACACAAAAGAAGAAATTAAAAATACTTGGAAGGAATATTTAAAAGAATTACTGAGTATCGAAACAGTGGTAAATGAGCAAGAGTACTCAGAAGATAGTAACGAAGCCTCCGCAATAGATGAAACTCACAATGGAATACCTGCTTAAAAATGGGACACTACCATTGATAATATTCCCGAATACACACGAAACTGCTAAAGTAGAAGGATTAAGAATTAATAAGCATAGACAAAAGTCATGCTCTAAAGCAAAACCAAAACCATGACCAATAAAATTACTGAAGACCAAAACGAGCCTATAAAAGTTATTGATACTTGGGAGTAGCTGGGAGTAGTATTAGCTGATAAAGCATATTTTGCACTTGCAAATATATGATATGATAATGGTATATTTGAAAACACTTGAGGAGAATTTTAGACCCAACTCGAGAATACAATGAGTGGAAAAGTTGATGTAATCACTGGTTTTCTTTCTTGCAATATTGCACTTCCCTCTTATTTGAAACATCAAACTTATTTCTTTTATCTTTTTTACTTTTGACAAAATGCCAAAAATGATGCTGCATGTTTTATTGTTATAAACTACAACATTTATCAACATAGGATTTCAAACCATGAAGTTGAACATAAGAAATATAGTTTTTGAGTCTATCTTTGAATAAGATATAAACTAAACTAATACTGACATTGACATGATTTGTTCATTAAGATCGCTTGTACTAAGAAGTAAGTTAGACCTAAATGACCTTATAAATGAAATTCATATACATCTAGTATTATTTAATATTAATACTGTATTCATTATTCATTAATAGCACAAAACTCCTTTATTTACTTTACAAAAGTTTTTATTTGTACAAAATTACTAAACTAACTACAAAGTAAACAAACTTACAATGAAGAACAATTTCGAAATATTAGAAAATTCTGAAGCTTTTTCAGTATAACGTAAATATTGATTTTCTTTAAGAACTCGCTGAATAAGGATTATAGATTTAAGGCCGACAAATACTTGCATTGTGTGTAATCGCATTACGATTACCATCATTTTTTGATTTTGTGTGACATATTCTTAGATTTTTTAGAATTTCCAATGCTCGTTATTAAAAAACAACAGGAACCATGTCATTTCCACATCTTCCAGCTTTGATTTCATCAGGTATTATGCACAAACTGTTTTTACTGCAAAGATCATGAATAAAATCTTGAATTCAAAGATAAACGTATTTATCAAAATGGAAGTGGGAAGACACTTTTAAAGATCGGCCATCACCGCTTAATATTCTGATTATTTTGATATTCTTTAATATTCTTATTTTAATATTCTTAATTTTTGTCTTATTTTTAATTGTGACACACATATCCGAAGGCTGATTAAAGATATTGACTCACAATGTATAATCAGAGACAATATGATGAATTCTGTGTGTAATACTAGCTGTTTTGATATCAAAAAATGTATATTGATACAATTATTTCGATAAAACACATAGCCAATAAGAAAGAGACCAAAAAGCATGTCCATTTATTTTTGAAAATTAAAATGGTTACTGACTAATAAAAAGATAATAAAAACATCTTGAGGAAAATTTATTAAACTATATTTTATCACAAGATGACAGTCGCCGCTTGCAGCAAAAACAAAAATAATGATAATAGAATTCACAATAAAGCCACAGTTAACATATGGAGTAGAAATCATGAAAAGTCACAAGAATGCGAAGAAAATGGAATCATTTTTGGAAAGACGTTGGAATACTACTTCAGGAACGTAGACATGCTGGAAGCAATAGAAATGAAAGACCAACAGCTGGTGAAAACCTTAAAAGAAAATGAAAATCGGATATGGTAGTAGCAGCAGTAAGAAAATATAAAAAGTCTGTTGCTTAAGAGAGGCGATGGAAGTGTGTAAAAACCGATAATATATTACAAAAAAGAAAGTAGACAGAGGAAGGGTTTAGTGAGTCTGGGATAGAATGGTGTCTGTTATCAGATTCCCAATCCCAATAGAGTAGATCCCTAGAATACCCTAGGTAATAAACTAACGTCACAATCGAGAGACTTATAATAATCTTCATGATGTCACCATGTATAAAATATGATGACGACCGACCTGCTTTTCGGCATGCAAGTTTCTTCTTCTTCTCAACCACTAACACTACTACCCATCATATTCAACTCTTCCTGCGAACTAGTTCCAATCATCCATTTATCTGCTCTCTTAGCTGAATGCTCTTACTGGATAACCACCCCACCCATCTATCCATGTTTCATAAACCTGTACACCCCTCAACCCTTATCCAATTCCATCTATCTCCTCTTTCATGCCTCTCTAACATCCTTCACCACCTCACTCCTATACACAAACCTTTCTCGCATCACCCTCCACAACCCCTTACCTTACCATCTTAGTCGAGAGACTGACTAATAAACCTTATTGATACTACAACAAAAAGCAACTTAAACATGTAACTGGTTAACAAATATAACCATTAAATTAACCAGTCATTGGTACAAAATCTACGAAATGTTGGCATCGTATTCTATGTTATATGATAGATATTGCAGTATCAAACTATAGACGGATTGAAAAAAAAAAATTGAAACACAATAAATATACATCTCAAGTACTGAACAAATATCGATTGGGATGCGATACTTTGATCAGGAAACCAAGAGAGTTCAAGAAGTATTCCTCGGATTCGTCAAGCTTGATGCTTTGGATACGAAATGTATTGCAAAAGCAATAGATGAGATTTTGGCAGAAGAAGATCGTGATCCGGACAAATGTGTTTAGGATTATGTGGGTTTAGGAGTAGAAAAGTAGAAAACATAAGAAAGCTTTGTTCTTTCACTACTCGTCACACAAATTCAATCTAGTCATTAATGATCTAAATAGTCTGTCTGAAATCCGGAATACTGAAGGTGCCATCAAAGATATGATTATATTTTTTCAAGAATCAGTTTTGAGACGCAAATTGATAACAAATATTTCAAGGCTTTGCGAAACAATGTGAAGCGAGAAACAGGAAAGTATTAGAGTTTTTAAAAAGAATTATCTATTATAATGGAGACCTTAGAAACCTTGTCACGGGAAGGAAATAATGCGACTAGAAAAAATGTTTATCATCTCCATGCAGCAGCTTCTAGAGTTTCGTTTATTCTCAACCTTATTTTGATAGCCAAATACTCTATGAGGGAACCTGTGGGAAACGTGTTCCAATCCGTAGCTTTGGATGCAGTTAAGACATCCCAGCACATTACTCGCATTTTGCAATTGATAAAAAACCTGTTGTTGCAAAAAAACTTGGACTGGGAGAAGACATGAAGGCAGTGCTCCGTATTGCTGGGAGACAACAAGATCGGAACAATCACCCAGCAGCAAGCCCGTCAGAATTCTGGCAGAGGTTTTTAATAATACCATACTTAGACTTGATTATTAATTCTCTTGAAGTTCGCTTTTCTGAAGAAAACACCCCGTCATTTTCCTTATTTAAATTACACCCGGCTCAATGTTAGACATGTTCCTTGAAGACCTTGGAGAAACTGGTGAAGTCTTTCCCCAATTTAACAAATATCAATAACGAAATCGAACTATGGCAAAAACTAAGGCAAGATAAACCTGACTCAAAAGAACTAAGGGAGCATTAACGAACTTTGGGGGTTTCATTAATAATCTGGTTGACGAATTCGCCACAAAAATTATGTTTTAAATAATTTGGTCTGTTTTTTTCCCTTGGGGACTATTTCCCAGCCCCCATTTCCATTTTTTTGTCCTGCCCTCCCCTAGCCCACTGGCTTTCGACGCCCTTGAGCAGTATAGATAAACAGTAGATCAATTATCTTTCAGGGTTAATTTAGCGAAGCAACTCAAAAACGGTTTTACTTCTAGGAAGGCCTTAAATAAATCTTTAGTTCATTTACATTACATTTTACTCATATCAAATAACCATGCTGTTCTAGATGAAGTTTGATTATCTGATGTTAGTAAATATCTTCTTAATCAATAAGGAACATGCAAAAGATGCAGGATTTCTAGCATAAGAACGAATGAGAAAAGAACAAGATATGTGTGTTCTTTGTGATACACAAGGATTGTATTATATTATTTCCAGCCGTATTTCAATAGATTTCATCAGTGATGGGCGCTGGGTAAATACCCGGCGGGTAGGTATTTCTAAAATGGGTATTTATCCAGGTAAATACACCGGCCCAGGGTAAATACCCAACCCAAATTCAAAAACAAAATGAAGACGAAGATGATGAAATGGACGTTGAAGACGTCCAACAATCAAAGACGTATTACCATCAGAAGAATCTGTTGTAATTTCGATTAGATCAAGTTATTATGATTATTATCATCAAGCAGCCCTCTGCGTCCATTGTTGGGCATAGACCTCCCCTATTCTGTTCCATTCGATTCTATTCTCTGCCGTCTGAATATAATTGTTGGTCATTCTTTTGACGTCTACTTCGTCTGTTCGCTCGCGGTATCCACCCAAGCAATCGTTTTGTCCACTGCTCATTCTTCATTCGCGCAACATAATCCGCCAAGTTCCACTTAAGCTTTGCCACAGTGTTGACCACATCATTTACGCCAGTTCTTTTTCATAGGTCTTCATTTCGTATGTAGTCCCTCAGAGTTACGCCCAGGATCGACCTCTCCATTTATCTTTGCGTTACTTGGACCCTCCTGACATATGTCATAACCGGAAACACGCATTGATTGAAAGCCTTTCTTGGCCTTTTCTATTGAAGATGTCTCTATGTTTCCCGTAGGCTGCCCATACGAGTGTGATCCTTCTGTTTAGTTCGCTTATTTGATTATCTCTCGATATACAAACCTCATAGCCAAGATATACGTAACTTTCAACCCTCTCAATCGCATTATCCCTAATGTTAATGTTAGACCTGGGAACAACATTTGTCATAAATTTTGATTTCTCCTTGTTGGTATTTAGCCCGACTCTTGCACACACTTCCTTTAAGTCGTTCAGCATTAGTTTAATTTCTCCAAGGCTATCCGAAATAAGAACTATATTGTCTACGTAGTGCAAATTACTTAGGCATTTACCATCAATGTTTATGCCTTTTTGGGTCCAATTCAGTTGTTTTAAATGCACTCTCCAGGACTGTGATGAACAATTTGGGTTCAATAGTGTATGTCTTGTTTTACTCACAATCAGTACTTTACTACTTCTACTGTCTTCAGTACTTTCATGCAATTTTACCGTCATGGTAGCATTCTTGTAGATGTTATAACTAAGTTTAGTATATCAATCATCGACTCTGCAAGCACTTCAAGATTGCTGATATCCAGGAAATTTACCCTTGAAAATAAATACCCGGGTATTTAACAACACTGGATTTCATACAAAATAAAGGAAGTTTTGATGGAAATCATTTATCATTTTTTACTGAATTCATAACATAATGACATAGTGATGGTGAATAAAAAACTTTGTTTTTGAGATGGGTAAATTTTATTTTCGGCTCAACCGGTTTCAACTATTTTTAGTCATCTTCAGGAGCTTTAGCCACCTAATACATAATAAAAATTAAATAAAAACTACACATTAAAATCTTACATAAATTAACTTTTGTCAATTTTACTTTTAATTTTCAAAATCTGGATTCATCTTCTTTATAATCGTTTTCTTAAATTTTTTGTTGTTAATTATTGTCAAAAATGTTTCTAATTTTGTGTTGTACCTTCTTTTTATGTTATTCACAGCAGCGGTTATTTTATTTTTATTTCTAGGTTATGTTCCATCTTGTGAATAAGTGAATATAGCTGCGCATTTCAAATTCAAATAATGCTATAAAATATTGTGGTATGGAATGGCAAGTGTTGTACCATTTTGGAAACTTGACTAAACAGGCCATCTTTTAAAATTACTTGCCAAGGGTGTTGTACTACTCCTTTTTTAGAAATCGTGTGTCAAACTTGATAGACATAAATTCTTTCAACCTTAACTCAATCAAATTAATATATTTTTTTGCAAAACTAATGACTTTTGTTGTTCGATTTGTGATTGCTATAGTAGCACGGTTCACTAGGAATACATTATTAAAAAAATCACTATTAAATTGCGAACATTTCTGACCATAGTACCTAAAGATATGATGTACTGGAACGATTTTTAACATTTTCAAAAATATTTCTATTACCACTTAACTAAGAGATGGAAAATTTTTCTCATTTTTACCAGAACAGATATAGGTTGGCCTCTCACCCGGTGCCCGCTTGACGTTACGTTTCGGGACATTCTGTATATGTTCTTACAGTCTGTTACATTGTTTAGTTTTTCATCCAATATATTATTATATCCAGATTTTGAAAATTAAAAGTAAAATTGACGTAAGTTAATTTATGTAAGATAACCAAAAAGCATGTGTTTTCTATCAAAAGACAAACAATTATAATGTGTAGTTTTTACTTTAATTTTTATTATGTATTAGGTGGCTAAAACTCCTGAAGATGACTAAAAATAGTTGAACCGGTTGAGCCGAAAATAAAATTTACCCATCTCAAAAACAAAGTTTTTTATTCGCCTAATTATTCTAACAAGATGGGAAGTAATAATATTAATGAAATAATGATACTTTCCATAATGAATAAAAATGAAAAGGTGGATTTTAACACACTATCCGGGATTCAGAAAAATCACGTTTGAATGTTCATTCAAGAAAAAAAAACACCCAAAGGGTTAAATAATTTAATTTAATTTAAACGAATCGTAATGTAAAATGATAGCAGGAATGATTTATTTAAAATTGGCTTCTAGAATTTCAGGACTTAATAGAAACAACATGAGCGCGCCATCTTTTGTTGAAAGTAGAACACTTTCCCCTTTTCGGTGAACTTATTCAATAAAAGCCCGACTCATTTCAAGTTCACCCATGTTCACCACCTGTACACACCACTTAAAACCACCTGCCTTTACTTTTCTACTCTCATCAGGTAGAAAGGAATTAAATGATTCGTTGACGATATTTCAAAGTATTAATAACAAAGGAGAAATAAATAAACAGAGATATTGTTTGTGTATGTATTGTGAACGTAAAGTTAATATAAATTTTACTTTCATTTTGGCGGAGTTTTTTATAAAAACTAAAATATCGATAGGTTAGTTGTGTTTGGTGAACACAACGTGTTATGTCAACAGTGTACGAGAGATGGATAAGTAAACAAAACGACGCATTTTCTCAAAAAAAAAAAAAACAAGTAAAGTCATTGACGTGTAGAAAACGCGTAATAAAATTTTAAAAAGTTTTATTAAATGAAAGAAGGAAAATCAGGTCATCGTCATCGTTTTTGGACGACAACAACTTTTTATTTTCTTTTTTTTTATAAAAAACCGGTCTCGAAACAAACGAATAACGCCAAAAACAACAATTACACACAAAAAAAAACAAACGATGAAAAACACTTGAATAAAAATAAAATGTTTTAAAAAAAAACAAATGTAACAAATGAAAACTATGCCGGCAAGATACTTACGGATTGAAAATGACAAACGTAGCGTATGACACGACGAGATCTCTACATGAAACCGAACAACACAGTAATCCAAAAGTGCATGAAGGACGTAAAACATATCACCACTATGTTTTCTTTCGATTGGAATGTTTCTTTTTCGGTGTCGAATCCCGTTTAAGCGTAAAATCACGAAAACTAAAAAAAAAAACGAGAATCGCGCGATGTCTACGAGTGTTGTTTTGGAGGATGATGGCTAGGTCTAGGTTTTCCGCTCTGGGCAAACGCGCTTGCGCACTTTATCGTTCGCAATTTTATCGCCGTTCCTTCGCAACGTGTAACACTTCACTACTTTATCCGAACAAATACGACGAATTTAATTTTGTTCCATATATAATTCGATCAAATAAAAGAGACATAAACATTACATTTTCTTAAAAAAAAAACAAATAAATTAATAAATGAAAATGTCGCAAAAAGTTTGTTACCTCCTTCTTTTTTACATCACGCACGTGATTCCATTCGGAGAATCAAAATCCGACGAACAAAAAATAACGTCGAAAAAATTACATACTGTTTTTACACGTTTCAACTTTAACTTTTTTATTATTTACTTTTACGGATAAAGGTCGTTTTAATGTCGTCACCCTCGGGTTAAAGATTAACGAGTTAATGAAACGGGTGGTTGTTATTGGTGTGTTTGGAGATTTTTGGCGGGGTCCCGGGACACTCGCCACAATGATAAAGTCGTCCGTGTACGTACGCGGCGTGAGCGCGAACTCTGCGTATATTTTGTTTTATTGATCGGGCCGTCGCTGTTGGTGACCTTGAATTTAGTTAAGACGAGCCTGGAAAGTGGTCAAATTTTGTGCTGCCCTTGCGCACCCACCGACCTTGAACGGACAACACACGGTTTCCAACACATCCCAACAGCTTAACTCTTGTCTAAAGCTGAAGTGCTATTACACTCTTCAGATTAATAATTCTAAAACATAAACATTTGTTGGATACACCATTTTTTAACCACCAGGTACAGATTTATTTCAAATTTTCGATCAAAAAATAATCTAAATTGAAAAAATTTATCGTTACGAACATAAGAACTGTATTCTTCTATTTTGAACGTATTGAACAATAGGTAGGTAAACAAAATAAATTAACCTAAAATTTTTGTTGAGTATGGTATATTTTTTAAATATACCATACCTGTTGGACTTGCTAAGTACAATCTTAATTTATAATTAATTTATTACTACTGTTGACTTGTACCTGAATAACAAGCAAAACAAGTGTGGGCTAAGTACAGGGTGTCCCAATTTCGATGTCCGCATAGGCCAGGAGTGGGCAAAGTTTAATGTTCAATGATCGACGTAAATGTTAGCTGGTTAATGGCGATCCACATTTTCAGAAATAGGAAAAAAATAACGCATTGAACGGTAATTAAATTATTTATTCATATCAATATACAGGTGTATCTGAATGACTGCAACAAACTTCAAGGGGTGATTCTTTAGTGAATTTTAAGGGTAATTTGATATATGAACCATGGGCGAGTTCGGCTCCCCTAAGAAGCTACGACCCCTCCAAAAATGGCGGAAAATTTTGGTTTAACTTTTTTTTCTCAAAAACCATAAACGCTAGGAAAATGAAATTTGGGGAATATGTTTAACTCATAATAGGGCACGTTTTGACCCTATTTGTACTTTCAACCTACTCTTCTAAGTTACTAAACATAAAAACCCCCGTTCAATTTTTGTCTAGATTTTTCTTATGACGGTGATAAATTGTTTGTTGCAGTCATTCACATACACCCTGTATATAATTCATTTTTTGGATGTGGACGCATGGCATTCCATTTTATCACTGAGTTTATTAAAATTGGGTTTATATTCACTAAGACATAATCGCATAGATGCCATCAAGTGGTTGTCAGATAGATTGCTTCTAAATTTTGATTTAATGAATTTCATTTGTGAAAATGCTGCTTCGCATAAATATGTCGAACCAAAAAATGCAAATATCCTCAATGCCACAGATTTTAATAACGGATATTTTTCTTCGGATACTAAATTCCAAAACGAATTTTCATGTGCGCGTCCTTTTAAGACGATATCCGATTTCATTGTTAAAACTTCTGATTCTATGTCTGTTGAATTTAGTTGGAAGTTATCAGCTAAATTTGAAGAAATATCTTCGATGTCATATTCTCCAAACGGAAATGAAATAAATTCAAAAATAACTTGAAAGCGACTGAGATTAGAAAAACGTCTTTCAAATTCTTGATTAATATTTTCTATTTCACAACAAAACTGTCGAATGTTGCATTGACCACTAATTTTAATCTGTGTTTCTAAATGTGGAAAATTCTTTAAATTATTTTTTTTTTAATTGTGAAATGTATAATTTTAATTTTGCTTTAAAAGCATTTATTGAACTCACTAATTGAATATTTTTTCCTTTTCCTTGTAATTCTAAATTTAGTGAATTATAATGACCCATAAAATCAGTTAGAAACGCCAACTTTTGTACCCAAAGTGGATCTTCCAGCTGTCTATGTTTTTCTCCCAACGAATTTAAAAATTCTACTATTTCGGGCAATAGCTCTAAAAATCGTTCCAAAAAACATCCTCGACTAAGCCATCTAACGTTGGAAAAAAGCACTAAATCTTCATATTCCGAATCATTCTCCTCTAACTGATTACAGAACAATCGCCTTCTTAAACTCCGTGCTCTTATAGAATTAGCAATTTTTACTGCAACATCCATAACATCGTTAACACCCAATAATAAATTTAAAAACTTATAGTATTTGAAAAACTTTTGTGATCTCCTGCCGATCTCTTCGCGATCGACTGTTTGCCCACCTCTGGCATAGGCTATCTCCGAAACTAAAAGAGATAGAAAAAAAGTAGCTTACATGTCATGATCTCGTTTTTCGAGAAAATGCTAATGCCCAAAACTCCAAACAGCCATCGCCTTTTGTTTTTGCCCTATCGGCAAAAACAGAAAATTTTGCGAAAACGACATTCGCGAATATCTCACTTATTATCAAAGATGGAGTAATTATAAATAAAACATTATATGGGCAACTTTTTACGAAGAATTCAGTAGGTAGAATCTTTTTCCCATCTTTTATTTTCGAGATTTTAGACGTAACTTTATTTTTTTAAATGGAAACCACAGTTGGCTATGACCTAAAATAAGTTGTTATTTTCTTCTGATAACAAATATATATAGTTTGTGGGGTATATTTCTTATAGTTATTGAATAATTAACAAAAAATCATTCTATTCTATCTAAAACTAATGTATGTATTTAAAAGTTAATGTTGCTATGGTGATAACCACACATACTATGATGACACATAATGTATCAAATAATTGCTTAAGTTTGTATTTAAAAATTCGATAACAACTCTGGCATTATGTGCTGTACGAAGCACCAGCATGTTAAGTATCAAAGTATAACAAAACTGAATAAAAGTTTACAATGAATTTCGAAAATTATGAAAAATGTGATATAATGGAATGCTATATGTTATCAGATAAGAATGCGACGTTAGCCGCGGAATTATACAGGGTTATTATAAATGATGGACCCATTTTTAAAGATGAATATTTATTAAAGTACATATCCAAAATGAACAATCTTTATACCAATGGAAAGAGGAAATTTCAAAGTTTTTTTGCAATACGTTATAAATGTTCAATGAGCCACCGTCTGATATCATCCGTCCGTTTCCTCTCTGTGAAAAATACTAAGTAGAAAAGAAGGCGATTGCGGTATGTCGCACCATAGCGACAAATAAAATAAAAATGAATAAATGGTTGCAACCATAATGACAAAGAGAAGCGTTTCGAATTTTGTAGTTATGTGCTAGGAATGATGGAGGATGACGCGTTTCTGCAGCGTATCATTTTTAGTGATGAACCGACTTTCCCCCTTAGTGGAAAAGTCAACAGACATAATGTTCGCATATGGGGTTTGCAAAATCCACATTTAACATTGCAACACGAAAGAGTCTCACCGAAAGTAAACGTGTTCTGTGCCGTATCTCGTACAAAGGTTTAGCATTGTATTACGTTATCTTTCTTTGCGGAAAGATCTGTAACTGGAACAACGTACCTGCACATGTTGGAATAATGGCTGTTTCCTCAAGTTATGGAAGATTCACAGGACTTCATTTTCCAACAGGACGGAGCTCCGCCCCATTGGCACCTTCATGTACGAGGCTTTTTGAATGCAGCTCTTCCTCAACGCTGGATAGGTCGCAGGGGAAATGAAGACCTGGCTCTCCACTTTTGGCCACCGAGATCTCCTGATCTCATTCCATGTAACTACTTCTTATGGGGTTATGTTGAGGAAGCTGTTTACGTCCCACCTCTACCAACAACTCTGGACGATCTGCGGAACCGTATCACAGCTGCTGTGCACTTAGTAACAGTAGATACATTTGTTCGTATGTGGGACGAGTTCGGCTACCGCATAGATGTTTGTCGTGCAGCGGACGGTGGACACATTGAACATTTATAGTGTATTGCAAAAAAAACTTTGAAACTTCCTCTTTCCATTGGTATAAAGATTGTTCATTTTGGATCTGTACTTTAATAAATATTTATCTTTTAAAAAGGGTCCATCATTTATAATAACCCTGTATTTCACAAGGCATCCGGAAAGAAGACAACCCTACGTAAGAACTTTCAGCCGGTTAGCAGAAAATTTAATAGATTTTTGGTCCTTCCCCAAACCACGTGCAAAAACATACCAAAATCACCTGCAAGAGGATCAAGTCAATGTGTTGGCTTCACTTGCGATAAATCCATCAATATCTTGCAGAGAAATTGTACAAGACGTCTGACCCAAAAGCCGCTGCTCCCGAATATGAAAGAAAAATAAGTATAAACCATACAAAGTGGGGCTAACTCATTATTTACGTGCTGTCAATCTAAGATTAGAATTTTGTAGTGATATTTAGAAAAATTAAATAATCTGCTGTTTGTTTAAAATGTCATATGGACCGATGAAGTCTCTGAGTGTTCAAAGAAGATTGGGGTTCAATGTATGGTGCCCTTTAGATAATAGAATTTTGGCATATAGTATCTACCATAAAAACTTAAACCTCAATACCTCAACAATTTGCCATTAAATATGTCTTAAATGATATATTTTCAATATGACGGAGCACCAGCACATAATGCCAGAGTTGTTAGTGAATTTTTAAATACTATTACAAACTTTGGCAATAATTGGAAACAATGTTTTCCATCATGGTATGGTTATCACAAAAAAAATTGATACATTTAGTTCCATCATAGTATGTATGTATGGTTATCACCATAGCAACATTAACTGTTAAATACATACATTAGTTTTAGATAGAACAAAAAAAATTGTTGTTAATTATTTAATAACTATAAGAAATATACCCAACAAACTATATATATTTGTTATCAGAAGAAAATAATAAATTATTTTAGGTCACAGCCAACTATCCTTTCCATTTAAAAAAATAAAGTTATGTCTAAAATCTCGAAAATAAAAGATGGGAAAAAAATTCTACCTACGCCACTGAATTCTTCGTAAAAAGTTGCCGATATAATGTTTTATATATAATATTCCATCTTTGATAATAAGTGAGATATTCGCGATAGTCGTTTTCGCAAAATTTTCAGTTTTTGCCGATGGGGCAAAAACAAAAGGCAATAGCTGTTCGGAGCTTTCGGCATTAGCATTTTCTCGAAAAACGAGATCATGATATGTAAGCTACTTTTTTTCTATCTCTTTTAGTTTCGGAGATAGCCTATGCAGACATCGAAATTGGGACTCAATACAGGTGTCCCATTAAGGGTACGGAGCGGCTGTATCTGGACAACGGTAAAGTCTAGAGGTTTGGGAAAAAAATCCTTATAGGCAAAGTGGCCAAGAGAAATAGCTGGAAATTATTTTGAATTAATTAATTAGCCATAGAGAAACATAAAATTCCCGCTATCTCAGAAACTTAGACGATGAGCTATAAT